CCCTACAGCTGGCTGGTCACCGCTGACTCAGAGTGTATGTGGGGGGGGAATTTCTTGAAAAAAAAACACTGATGACTGTCATTTTTAATATGTAAGAAAATGTAAAACTGCACACAAATAAGCATTTGTGTGATTTGAACATGAAATTTCATAATTGTATTGTGTGTGTATTTGGTGATCTTGGTAAAGATTGAGGTAAAAGGTCATATTTTGTTGGCTTGATTGTGAGACAAATATATCAGAGGTCATTAATGTATAATGCGTGTTATTTATTGAAAATTCTAATTTTTTTGGCTTAAAACATTGAATATCAAAGTTCTAACACATTGAACTTAAGCAGTTGAGTCTCATATTAATGGAAACAATTCGAGGAGTGAGTGAGGCAAGGGGAAGGAAGGAACAAAGGAAGGGGTGACATTCTCTACTAAATTAACCACAGGATCTCGTGAGATTGTTGGAGAGATGGATAAATGTGTGAATAGATGACAGATGAATTGGCCTATGGATCAGCAGGAAAGTAAGTGGGTGGATGGTCAGAGAGAGGATCAAGGGACAGACGGCACGTGGTAGATGGTTGGGTTGGCTGTTCTGGCTTCCAAGGGAAGGTCTACTGCAGCACTGGCCAGATGACTTCAAAGTGACTTGCTTACTTACCCATAGGTCTTTCCCACAAGGTACTGAGCCCCTGGAAGACTGAACTTAATTTTATTGTGTTTCTGTCCTAGGGCCCCAGTGCAATCTAGCACATTCACAGAGGTACTAGCATGTAGATTTGGCAGCTGTTACATGCAACATCTTATCTGCATGATGGAACAAGGCCAAGACCACAGTACAGCCAACAGTAAAGGAAAAGGGAGCAGGGGGAAGGCCTGTTCAAAGGCACACGTCCCTTCTGCTCTCATCCCATAGTCATATGGCCACCTAACAGAAAAGCATGCTTGGAAATATAATTTTTTCTGGGTGGCCTTATGTCCAGCTAAAACTCTGTTGTTCTAAAAACACCAGAAAACTGGTCTGATAAGGTAAATTATCTTCAGCACATAAATGAGCAACAATTCTTATTTGTTAAATGAAAATTAAATGCATCCAACTGACATTAAAAATTTACATTCTGAAAAGAAAAAGGGTGTTGAATCATACAGTTGATCTAAGTAGGATTGACAGATATAGCATGCAAATTTTTTTATTGTTCTTTACTAAGAAAAATGTTGTTGAGAGTAGCAATGGGCCCAAATAAAATATCCCACTTCCCAGGATCCCTTCAAGTGGTATGTGACACCTCTGTGGCCATTGAGTTGTAAAACAGAGACAGTTGTTGATTTCCTAGGACTTCTCTGCGTTAGTACAGGGATCCCTTTCCCCTCCTTTCTACTTGATTTCTGAACTGCAGATGTGAAAATGAAGATGTGACACGTGAAGAGCAAGATGGCAAAAGCCATACGTCATGCTTAACCAAGTGAAAAGACGAAAAGAATCCATGTTATCATCAATGATATCATGGATGGGGCTCCCACCTTGACTGCCTGCCACAGACCTGTCATTAATGAGAAATGTGAACTCCCACTTGGTAAAGCCAGGATAATTGCAAAGTAGCTGGAAATTGATTGACTGTATAAAATATCTCTGGAAAGATATAAAAGAAACTGTAGCCAGAGCTGCCTCCTAGGAGAAGATATGAATGACTTGTGAATGGGGTGGACAAGAGACTTACTTTGCATTTATAGTTTTTTATAATTTTGAATGTTGAATTGTTTACATATATGTATTATTCAACAAAAAATGTTGAAATAACATCTAATAATGGGAAAA